GGGCAGTGCCTGAAGGGGGCGGGGCGATCCCCAGGATCGCTGCAGAGGCGGGTGGGAGCTGGCTGTCCTGTAGTTGCAGACTTGCCTGAACCGCTGTCTCCCTTTGGGGGCTTGGGCCACTAGCTGGTATGCTCTCGTGTGGGGCCACGCACCCGGGCAGCGCCGTTCTTACACGGGTGTCAGGACTGGACCCCCAGACCACAGGGCCAGCAGCCTGCGGGACCTTCGCCTGGCCATTTCCGGGGGGTGGTGACGCAGGAGGACTAAGGGTCTGCCTCCCCACACCCCTCCACCCCACTGCACCTGGTTCTCGCCCTGGCCAGCTCTCCGGCAGGCCCTGCGGCCCTGGCCTGGTGGCTCCTGCAGTGTGTGGAGGCCAGGGCCCTGGGCTGGGCCTTCTGTGAAGGACGTGGTGATTGGCGCTTCCACGGCCAGCGGAGCCTAACGTAGAGCCAGCACCATCCTGCCCAGCGAGGGCTCCAGCAGCGCCCGCTTGTCTTGCTCCTTCTCCTCTTGTCTGTGCCCACAGCGGGCGCACTGTGCCCTTCCAGGGGCCTCCTGCAGCCTCCAGGCTCTCCTGCCCCACGAGGCAGAGTTGGGCAGCGTAACCACCTGTCCCCTGGCTGTCTGGGGCAGGGCAGTCAGATCCGCCCTGGGGCAAAGGGCGGGGTCTGGAGAAGCCGGGGTCAGCCCAGGTCCCTCTGCTGCCTCCTTGGGGCCTGAGGCCAGGGAGGAGGTCGGGCTGACAGGGCGACTCGGAGCTGCCTACTTACGCTTGTTTTTGTGCCTCAAGGAGCCACCTTCCTCGTAAGTTTTGGAAACTCCGAGAAATCAGAAACGATGGTTTGTCGTCTTTCCAGCAACCAGAGGTAAGAGGCAGAGCCCTCGGGCACTGGCAGCTGCCCGCGAGCCCCGGTGACCGGGACGCCCTCCGTTTGACAGGTACCTGCTGCTGGACGGGGCCAGCCACCGCGAGATCGAGGTCACACACATCTTGGCCGTGCAGGTCCTCACGGAAGGCTTCCCCGCTGGAGGTACATGCGCCTGCCCCTCATGGAACGGAGGCCGGGGCCAGCCGGGCGGCAGGGACGCAGCGGCACCGAGGTCGGGGCTCCCTCTGGGCAGGTCCTGGAGGTGCCTGCCCTCTCTGTGGACTGGTGCTGCTTCGTGGCTCTGGGAACTCGCCAGGCGAATGGGGGGGGGGTGTAGTGTGTACATCACGGAAGGCTTCCCCGCTGGAGGTACATGCGCCTGCCCCTCATGGAACGGAGGCCGGGGCCAGCCGGGCAGCAGGGACGCAGCGGCACCGAGGTCGGGGCTCCCTCTGGGCAGGTCCTGGAGGTGCCTGCCCTCTCTGTGGACTGGTGCTGCTTCGTGGCTCTGGGAACTCGCCAGGCGAATGGGGGGGGGGGGTAGTGTGGGCAGGAGGAGGGGCGCCTGAGCGTGTTTACTCAGGAGCTCCCCCATAGCGCTCCGGCCAAGGCTGCAGGCCACGGGCGGCTGGCAGCACCCAGATCCCAGGGGCTGGAGTGTGTCTGCGAGCACCAGGCCTCCGCTTTCCTGCGCGAACTTCCCAAGGTCCAGGCCGCCGGGATCTTTCCCACTGAACTTCTGGGCCCCGGGGCTGTCTCTCCCTGGAACCCACCGACTTAATCCATCTTGCTTTCTGTTTTCTGATGGCTCTTGGCTGCTCTTCTCTCCTGCCTGCCCACCTTCCTGCCTAGACAAAGACACGCACACTTACACCAGCCTCCTGGGGAGTCCGCCCGCCTCCGAAGGTCAGCCTCGCTCCCAGCATGCCGTGGGCCGTGCCCCGCCTCTGCTGCGGGAGGTGGGGGGTCGCACAGGGCCTCTGAGAAATGCTCATTCACTCCTTTTGGCCAGTTTGAAAGAGGGTTGGCATCTAAGCACCAATGGGAATGTCCTGGGGAAGACAGGGATTTGCTGTTTTCCTCACCCCAGGGGAGTGTCACCCCTGTTTCCCAACCTCTTGTTGGAACTGCTGTCCCTGAGCAGGTGGGGTGCAGGGTGTCGGGGAGCAGGGCATGGGTGGCCCTTCCGGCACCTTCCTGACCGTCACAGCGGGCGCACTGTGCTCCTCCAAGGGCCTCCTTGCGGCCCCCGGGCTTGCCTGTCCCGATGGGGCAGAGCGGGCAGTGTCACCACCTATTCACAGGCTGTCTTGCCAGTGGGCAGTCAGATCCACCCTGGGGCAAAGGGCAGGGTCTGGAGAAGCTGGGTCAGGTCAGCCCAGGGGGCCTCTGCCACCTCCTTGGAGCCTGAGGCCAGGGTAGTAACTATTCAGGTTTGTCAGCCCGAGGGACTGTTGCAAAGTAGCCAGAGGAGATGGCCCATGTCCCTGGCTGTGCCAGTGACACTCCTTACAGTCAGGAGGTGGGTGGAGCCACCAGACTGACAGACAGGAGCGCAGGCGTGAGCTCCTGACAGGTCATAGGAGGCCTTCGGGCCTCTCAACCGGGGCTCCCCCCACCGGCCTGGCGCAGAGAGGGCTGGAGGCAGGGAGGGGCTCCCAGAGGAGAGCACTGCCCAATGGGGTGGCCTCCTGCAGCCGCCAGGTAAAGTGTAGGTGACTCACCAGGGGCCTGCTGTCCACATAGCCGTCCTCGCTGCCGGGCACTGAAGGGCCCCTCATCCCGAGTGGCTGGTCCTGGGAGGTTTTGGCAGGAGTCATCCCGGGGAGCAGCTGGCCCCACAGAGATGGGCACCATCTCCGCGCCCCGTCCCCCGCGTGGCATCGCGGCGGGAGCTCGAGTATCGGTAGATGGGCCCTGGGCTGGTGCCTCCCTGGTGCTAAGCCCTGCACAGCTCCCCCGGCCGTGACCCTGGTCCTCAGGTGGGCAGCACTGACCGCCTGGCCTCTGCCCTGGTGCAGGCAGGGGTGACAGCTGAGCACAGGCCCCTGCCACCTCCTAGACCTGCACCAGGGTAGGGAGTGGCGTCTGAGCCTGCTGCCTCCCTCCCCCAGGGGGCGCTGCGCGGGCCACGGGCATGTCCCTGCAGTACTCGGCCCCAGGGGCGGAGGTCGTGGCCCAGCTGAAGCTGACTGCAGGGGAGGATGCACACGGCAGCAGGAAGCAGGCGACGGCGTGGCTGGCAGCCATGCACAAGGTACGGGCCGTGGTGGTTGGCACAGGGGCAGGCAGGAGGGGCCCAGCTTCCCCAGGGCGAGGCTGCCCCCCAGCTCCAGCCGGGCAGGACCAGCACAGTTCTGTTTCTGTTGCCATGCAGGCCGCCAAGCTCCTCCACGAATCTCGGGACCAGTAACTGCACGGGCTGGAGCGCGGAGCCTGCTCGCTGCCTCGCCCGACCCCAAGCGCGGTGGGAAGGCAGCGCGAGGCTCTGGAGGAACAGTCGTGTGCGCTTACCTCGTGCGACACGTGCACGTTCACTAACGCTCCAACCGCTCCGGCTCGAGAGCCTGCGTTTTCCTGGTGATGCCTAAGTGGGTGGAGACCCAGCTACACAACCGCTGAACTGTTTGTAGCATAACCTTTGCCATGTTTGTACGAGTCCAGGCTTACCAGGAGGTTCTGGACCCTCGTCTTCGTGAATTGTCTCACGGGTGATCCGGGCCTGCGGGAGCCGGGCGGCAGATGGCACTAATGGCACTAGGGCACTAACGCGGGCTATGCAAGCCTTTCATACTTCACTACAGGGGAGGAGCCAGCTGTGTATTTTGTACTTTTCACTCACTGTTTCACTTTATTAGAACAATTGTACAACAATTTGTATATGAAGCTTGATTAAACCCTATTTTAAGAATATGGGCCAGGCCTTGCCTCACTGTCGGGACCACTGCGCGTCCCTGTGGCGGCTCCGATCACTCAGGACACAGACTCGCAGCCACGGGGAAACAGTGTTTATTGCGCACGTTACACGGCATCGGGTGGAGGGGGCCCCGGCAGAGGCTGCCCCGGGGTCTTCACGCTCCATCAGCACTGTGTACACTCAATGCTTAAAGGGGACCAGTACAGCAACGGTCTATACACACGTCTATACAGAATTATACACAGACTCGTCCATGGAAAATAAAGCCTACGGGCCTGGAATTTAATGAGAAAGACTTCTCGACATCTCCAGCATCATCCTCGTAGTTGCGAATGTCTAGTCAAAAATACTTTTGGTATAAAAGCCTGTGCGTTCAGCTGCCTTCGGTGAAGGGCCTGCCAAGGTCACCACATCACGGCTGGCCCAACGGGGAGGCCCACCCTCATGCCCACAGCTGCCCCTCCTGACGACCATGCCACCCGAGTGACCGACCTCAGGTTCCTGGCCGGTGGGGGGCAGGGTCTGCCTACACTCAGGGCCCACCAAGCCCCAACCAGGCACAGAGCCAATGGCATTTCTCTTGTTTCTGGTTCCCGTGAATGAAAACCGAGGGGCTGAGGGGGGTAAGAACCACACCTGGGCAGCGAGGGGCTGCAGAGAAGGAAGCGAGGAGGTCAGTGCTGACAGGCTCCTGGCCATGGTCCCTTGGTCTTGAGGTCCCTGCCTGGGGCCTGAAGTCCAGCCCCGCACCACGGGCCGGAACAGGAAGTGGAGCCCCGTGTCAGGGCCACTGCACGGGTTTCCCTGCAGGCTCCTATGGTCATGAAGGGAAGGACCTGGTGCTGAGGTGCCCAGCGGCAGGCGGGCAGGGCTCGGGGGAGCACGCACGGCAGTGGGCGCGCTCACTGCTGGTGAGGGACATGGAGCATGAGGGTGGCCTTGGGGCCAGTCAGGCCACTGGTCTCCACTGGCAACCATCCGGGGGTTCACTCTCGGGCTTCTATTGGCACAGGCGTAGAAAGCTGGGCATTTATTTGGGTTGACAGTCATTGGCAAAGCTCAGTCCTCTGGAGGCGGCTGGAGGAGGCCTCCCGAGCCTGCGGTTCACATTGTGGGCTTCTGCTGCGTGAGCACCATAGACTTCAGCTTCCGCGCAGGGACGCAGGCGACCTCAGCGGCTCCTTGGCGGGGGCTCAGGCCAGCGTTCGCTGCCGGGGCTGGATCCGAGGACACAGCTGGAAGGACAGCGTCCAGGTCCAGCTCCCGTCAGCCGCCCAGGAGGCCCTGCCCGACACCCAGAGCACCCGCACCCAGCCCACCTCCACCCGGTCCGAGCCCCCTCTCTCACAGCGACCTGCAGGCTCTCCCTCTCCCCCCTCCCCAGTGAGCAAGTTTCTGGGCTGCAGAGTTCTGACTGGCGTGAGATGGGGCGCCCGAGGGAGTTCCCACGAGAAAAAGGCACTGAGCAGCTGGGCTGGGCCCCCCGCAGGGCCGACCGCAAACGCCCGCCTGCAGAGCACTGAGCGTGAGGAGGGCAGTGCCTGCCCGCGGGCCCCAGCAGGACAGGCCACGCTGGACAGCGGATTCCGGGCACTCACCCCCAGCAGGTTTCTGGGCACGTAGCCCTCCCGGTCGCCCAGGCGAGCCCACCACCACTGGGTCTCGTGCTCATCCTTGCGCCTCAGGATGGTGATGGCGTCGCCTTCTCGGAAGGACAGCTCGTCGCTGTTCTGGGCCTCGTAGCTCCACAGCGCGTACACCACGCCCTTGTTCATCACGCCCAGCTTCTCCTGCACCCCTGTGGCAGGACGGCAAGCGGTCAGGCCTCAGAGGATGGGCAGCGAGAGCCCCGCTGCGGGGCCAGGCCGGACGCTCTGCTGCTCTTGGGCGGCCCAGCGAGGCCGAGGCCAGGCTGTGGGTCGGAAGCCAGGCCCAGCTGCTGCCCATGGCCACACCCCAGCAGGTAGGCACTGCCGCTTGAGGTTCTGAGTCCAGAGACATTTCTTGGGGAGAAACGTACACCTCACATCTAGCACAAAGTCGGGGACCAAAGAGTGGGGTGACTGCTTGGAGGGCAGCCGGCACTCACACGTGGCAGTGAGGGGCCGGCCCACGCCCAGGAAAGCCCTGCAGGCTGGCGACCTGAGTGCCTCCCTCCTCCCCGCCCACGGTCACTGTCCCGCCATGGGCCTCCCGGGCTGGCCGCCTCCTCGGTACCGGCAGCTTGTGTTTAGCCAGCTGCACAGCACCCTCCTGCCGACTCGGACTTTCAGACACGTCTCAGGAGGGAGCGAAGGGACAGGGGCTTCCCTCTGAACTAACTGGCTGCCCCTGCAGTTAGGGCCCGGTCGGCCGGCCCAGCGCACGCCCCCTGCAGGCCGAGAGGACGCCTGCGTACCATACAGAAACTGGGAGCACTGGATGTAGCCCTCCTCCATCTCCTCGCACTTGTCCGCAGCAGTTTCAATGTCACTGATGGTCGAGGCAAAAATGGCGGCACCGCTCTCCACCAGCTGTTTGCAGAGGTGCACGCTGTTGCAGGAGGCGGCGCAGTGCAGCGGCGTCCTGCAGGGCGGGAGGTGAAGGCGTGTGTGGCCCCTGGAGTGGCAGGCCCTGGGCTGCGGAGCCTCAGTGCCCGCACCTCCCGTGCTGTCTGCAGTGGTGTGGTGTCCACTACCACCTGTCCTGGGCCTCACACACACGCCTGGAGGGCGCGGCTGAGGGACACCCGAGACAGGTGCAGGCAGCTGCCTGAGGCTGACAGCGACCCCGGGAGGCCGGGCCTCCACGGCAGCACCGGGCCCCGCAGCCACGACCCAGCCACTAAACAGACAAGAGTCCTGACTGCTGAAAACGTGGCCGGGCTGTGCGTTAATGACCAGGTGGACAGACTGAGCCACAGCCCGGCCCGTGTGGCTCAGCTGGTTGGGCTTCATCCTGTGCAGAGAGGTCACGGGTTCGATTCCCAGTAGGGGTCATGCAGGAGGCAGCTGATTAATGTTTCTCTCACTGATGGTTCTCTCTCTCTCCCCTCCCTTCCTCTCTCTTTAAAAAAATCCATAAACACATTTAAGAAAAGGGAAGCACGGCTGTGCCTTTTACAACATCCTCCAGAAAGCAAAGCGGGGGGTGCTGAGCAGCCCAGGACGAGTGGGCGCCCTGTCCCTCACCCTTCACTCCCTGTGCTCCAGACCCTCGGCCCCTCTGCCCCGTGGGGGGGCTCACCAGCCATCGCTGTCGGCGGCGTTCACGTTGACACCGAAGTCCAGTAGGAACCGCACGATGTGGTGGTGGCCGGCGCAGACGGCGTTGTGCAGCGGGGTGATCCCTTCGTCGTTGGGCTTGCTGGGGTCTTCCACCTGGGACACAGGGTGTGTGAGCCACGCCTGCGCGTGTGGGGCGCCCAGGCAGGGGCTCCGCTCGGCTCACCTCGTAGATGATCCTCTGCACCAGGTCGAACTCTCCCTCCAGGGACGCGTCCAGGAGCAGCGCCAGGGGGTTGAAGCGGACGCGCAGCCCGCGGCCCGTGCGCTCGGAGTTGGGTTTCTTCAGGTTGGTCCGCTTGCTCTGTGAAGAGGAAGCTTGGATTTAAAGGGGACCCCACGAGCCAGGGGGTGACACCCAGCTTCACTGCTCCCTCCGGAGCGGCAGCTCCTTCCCACCAGCTGAGGGACTCCCAGCCGCTCGCTCCCTCAGCTCGGCCTCCCTCCAGGTCCCAGGGGCAGCTTCCCTCCTCGGGCCTCCTGGGCCTCCCGGCTGGGCCTCCAATACGAGCCCGTGGAGCCCTGCCCTGGGCCTGACTCCCTATGGGCCGGGACCCGTCTGCCACGCCCAGCGCGCCCAGCACAGCGCTGGCTCCTCCTCAGCACAGGGG